TTTTACCCTTGACCTTGAAACTTAGGTCAAGGTTACTGGTAACCTGAATAAAATGTTGATATTAACTATTTACCAAAATCACCTTGACCTATGAACTTGAAATCGACCTTAACCTTTGTCCTTGACCCAAGGGTAAAAAGAAACATGAAGTACATGTACATGTATCTAGAAACACCTTTCAGAGTTTATTTCGGTTGACAGGTTAGAAGTTAAAGAGGTGGTGGTTTTTAATGACCTTGACCTTTCATCCAAATGTCACAATCAATCTTAAGTTCTTGGAATAAGATACAAGATTCAACTCAAACGTTAAATAGGTTAAGAATAAAAATAACCCCCCTCCCCACCCCCCACCCCCACCCCCACCCCCACCCCCACAAACAAATCAAATTAATGGCAACGTAGAGAATCACTGTTAAACTCAAATAACACCTCGGACCCACATAAAATTTCAGGAAAACTGCAGAAAAGAGCTCGAGGAAAGTGTATTAAAATATTTCATTTGAGTTTCAAAAGTATATAGAAATTATTAATTGATACAGAAAAAATTACAAATCCTGTCGTGTTTAAAATTAAAGTGCAGATGACCAAAGTTGGCATATAAGCCTTTTATAGCCTATTTATTTAGAAGTCGTTAATAGCATTCGATTCTACTGATTTGAAATAATATTTTAATACCAAGCATCCTTTGTTTAATTTACCTTTGAAATTTATTTGAATTTTTTTTAGAATTACGCAATCCCCAGAAATAGCGATTTTCGGTATATTAAAAAAATCAATATACATGTACGCTCCTTCGTAAAATAATCAGATATTTGCATTCATGGAAAAAATATTAATAAGAAGGTGTTCAACAATATAGGTCACATTAGCTGACACGAATGTCTTTTTAAACATCTCTTGTAAAACCCAGAGAGTAGCCCCCTATGCATTGGAAAAAATGAATAGTTCCGGTCAAAAAACCTTTATATATTTATTTACAAAGTATATAAAATTTACCAGGCACAGGTATCAGAGTTGTCAAAATGGCCCGAGAGGAAATATTAAAAAAATTCTGAACAGAAAGGAAAATCCCTTTTCCATGTATGGAACTACTATTGAATAAGTTCATTTTGATTGGTTAGGTATTGGCGTGATACCCCTAGTCGACTTTTAAACCTGCCTTGTCGTCGGAATAAAACCAACTTTGAGCCCGAGGTTAAAATAAGTAGAGAAATAAAATATGAATCGCTAATTAAAAATACGACATATGCTTGAAAAATGGTAAATTTATATATGTATTTTTTTCTTTGATTCGCGGGATAGAAAGATATGTTAATCGCTTAATCAACATGCCATAATCATCTTGCATATGCATGTACATGTACGTGTGCGCGCATGCAAAACGTTAAACAATATATCGTTGATAGTTGATATCATTGTAACTTTTATATTCTTAAATGAAATCTTGGGATACTTAGCATATTTATAAAAGGTCTTAGAGGAATAACATGAATGAGGCACGATAAGGGACATGGGGAGCGTTTGGGGAACATCTGTAACGGTCCCCGTTACAATTAGCACTAGTTAAGGTCTTCCGTTTCCAACGGAAGACCTTCTACTGATTCTGTTGTTTCTTTTCCACTATTATTAAGGTCTTCCGTCTTCACGGAAGACCTTATAGTGATTCTACTGTTTCTTATTAGGGTCTTCCGCTTCCTTCGGAAGACCCTACTGTTATTCTATTGTTTCTTATTATTCTTTTTTTTTTCCCGCTCGACTTTTGACAGGCGATTTCTCAAAGACCTTTGGACTGATCGTTATGAAACTTTCAGGATAGATAGCTTGTAGCAAAACCTTTTTAAACCTGTTTTCAGTTTTTTTATGCATGCCTTAATTTGTGAGTTATTGCCCTTTAATTGAAAATTTTTGATGTCTCGTTTCCACTGAAAATCTCAAAAATGACATAAGATATTTACACGAAAGTTGGAGAACTTGTAGCCAATACATTGTAGATGTGCACAACGATAAAATTATATAGCTGATTTCTTTTAGTTTGGAAGCTATAAAACGGCAAAGTTTAGTAATTTTTTTTCTTTGAATTTTTGGTACTTTTCGTGTAATAACTTTTAAACCGAGAATAATTTGGTAAGACATATAATACAAAAGTTGTGGGTAATTACGAGAGCTTTCATATTTGATTAACGAAAAGGGGCTGGCCCCTATAATTAGGGGGCTAATGGCTCATACACGTTTTTTCTGATAGTTAAAAATATTGGTATATTATGAAAAAGTTTGACTGAAATAACTTCGAACTTATAAAATCTTGTCATTTGATATAAAAAGAAATAAACTTCAAGCTATATTTAATTGTTTTTTTATAAAGCAAGTACATGTATGTGAGAAACCTTTCAGGAACAAGTTGTCTACTATAGCCAGCCAAGCCTTTACTGCATACATGTGCACATTTTTTTTGATGACTCTAAAAGATATAGTTTTGATTCGGTGTTTCTTTGTTTTCTTTTTATTCAAATAATTTTAAAATGTGATGATGTACACAACAATAATTAGTACCTAGTTTAGAGGATTTTTTCGCGCTTGTTTGTAAACAACGCGCGGCATTGTGGGAAATAGGAAGGTACTAAAGACGCGATGTACTAAACACTGATCTGACCTGATTCAAATTTGTCTGTAACTGTTCCAAACAATTGAATTTTTGTATAGCATATGCCTCAAAGTCATAAAGTCTGTACATAAGTAATTTAAAATACTCAATATTACCATTTAATTAAAAATTAAGACGTCAGGTAAATATCAGGTCTCTAGTATATCCCGTTTTTAGTGTGCCCCTTCGAGTCGACGTCGGACACTTACAAACTGAAAATAGAATGATTTGTGAAGTTGAACATTTTCTCACAAAGAATCCGTTTGTAGACATGTACACTCATTTAATCTGGAGCTACGAAGTACTTTTTCACTTCCCTGGAACATTATTCTAAGCAGAATTATCCCGATTCATATATTCTAAGAATCTTGTGTGAATTGTTTACGAGGAAATTCTGACTGTCACATTAACAAGGATGAACACTCTTGACTCTGCTTCGGATTCGGATCATCATATCATTCCCCAGTGATAATTGTATCGAGTGGTGAAAGAGCTGACGGCGACATTTTAATGTATGATTGGCTTGGACCATTTGAATGAAGGTTAGAATATTTTTATTACTTAAAATTTACACTACTGATTACATGACAGTGACATACATTGATGTTATTAGAAATACACAGACACACCGATATATTATCTGTTTTACAGTTCAGACGATCTCTGTTTACCTTGTAAATCCCCACAGCTTTATATTTTATTTTTTTTTTAATTTGAGGATGTAATATTTCAGCAGTCCTACTATCTATCATAGTGATCATACTCTATAATTCAAACTGCACTGAATGTAACAGAATATATTCAACTAATTACATATTGACAGTGTGACTAATATGTTGACGGTGCGACCGTTGTGGCGAGCGCAGATGTTTATTTTGTTAGAATTTAAATCTGGCTCGTACGTCGAACTCCACGTGACATTTGATGCGCCTAGACTCTGACGTCACATGACGTCGTATGTAAGTTACATTTCCCCTAAAGAACCCTGAACAGTGCTGAAAATAAATGAAGAACATTTGTTTGCTATTTATCTTCATTATTTATCCATTAAATCAGGGCATATATACTTTTTAGTACTTCTGCAACTATTCTCACGAGAACGTAGCCTTAACGTAGCTTAAACAAGTGATGCATTGTGGGTCGAAATTACGGCATCAAAAAATTCTATCGATGAATGTGCAGTAGTCCGAATTTTCTCTTCGCACAGGCGTTGCTTTAAGAGCTCGCAGTGACGAGCGTTGCTTCGCGACGCTCGCTGCGCTCGCTATAAGGGTGAGGGCAAATACTTATTTAGTTTTAATTTAGATTGTGCTTGTCAAGCCGCATTTGACATTTGGTGCATCCATGCTCAGTGTTCACACTGAGAGTTTATTCAAATGTTTAATTCGAATGAATTCACTGCTCATTAAATTACTTCCCATTAGCGCCATGTGAACATGAGTACGGATAGCTAACTCAAATTAAATAGAAATGAATTTTGAATTAGCTTAAACATGTTAAAGAAGCTAAGCACTGTGGGTCCAAAGTATACTGCGGAAAAATTGTGTGGAGCAATGTGCAAGTCACAATCTTCTTTTGCCAAGGTTTTATTATAAAAGCTCGCATTATGGGTAGGGATTTGTGCTGCTGTCTGGACTCGCTATAAATAGATGTTCTCAAAAAGTCTTAATTATTCAATATCATACTTTACTGACAAAAAATGACAAATATTGCTCAGTTAAATTGCAAAAGAAATTTGTTTCAAAAAATTGTAATAATAGAAAGTTTGCTTTTTTGTTTGATAAGACTGCTGTAATGGTTAATGTTTGTTTATTTGCCTTAATCATACATTTTTCAGTCATATCATGGTGCCACCACTTGGGATGGTATGCAAATATAGACTTGTACTCAGCACTTATTGCCTTTAAGAAGTATGAGATCCATTTTGTGCTAACACCTACCGTGACGCAGAATCTTGGTTTATGCAGTCTCATAGGAGTAACCTGTCTAAAGCATTTAGCAATGGGATTGGAACCTGCGATGTAAGGTTCAGCTTCTTATTGATACTTTGATTTATGATATTTATTTGAGAATTTCAATCATTCACATACTTAGAGATGTTGAATAGCATCAATTTAGACCTTTACTTAGCTAAGTAAACATGTACTGTGAGGTTTTTAAGGTCTCATTAATTTTATATGACAGATGCATGTTAAGGAACATTACTGCATAAATGTTTTTTTCTTAAATTTTTTTGTCTTAAAAGCTGTTTACTAATATAGAGATATGTTAGTGTTAAACCTCTTCAAATTAGGGTAGCCCTTTACTTTAAACTCAGCAATGTGAGTGTGTTGTGTGAACTTGTGTTAGCGAGACAGTGTGTTATATGAATTTGTGTTAGCAAGGCAGTGTGTTTTGTGAACTTAATTGTGTTAGCCTGACAGTGGGTTGTGTGAAACGATACGCCTTGTTAGCTTCATGTGTTGCGATAAACTCGTGTGATTTGGTCTCAGTTCGGTTGTGTGAAATCGTGTATAAAGGAAGCTATTCAACTGTTCTTTTATGATATTTAACTCGTATTAGCAAAAAAATTATATTGTGTAAACTCGTGTAATAGTGAGACTTCGTGTTGTGTAAAAACTCGTGTTAGTGAACTTTGTTGTGTAAAAAATTCGTTTTAGCGAAACAGCATGTTGTCTACCTTATTAACGAGACAGCATGTTGTGTGAACTCTTATTAACCGAAACAAGATGTTGTGTGAATTCGTGTTAGCGTGACAGTGTGTTGTGTGAACTTTTATCCTGAAAATTGGGTTGTGTGAACTGGTGTTAGAGAGATAGTGTGTTTTTTTAACTTGTGTTAGTGACAGCGTGTTGTGTGAAATAGTGTTAAAGTGTAAGTGTGACAGTGTGTTTGAAACTTGTGTTAGCGTGACAGTGTGTTGTGTGAAATGGTATTAGGATGACAATGTGTTGTGTGAAATGGTATTAGGATGACAGTGTGATGTGTAAATGGTATTAGGATGACAGTGTGTGTATCGCAACAGCCTCTGGTGTGAACTTGTGTTAGTGAATACGAGACAGCCTGTTGTGTAAATCGTGTTAGCGTGACAGTGTGTTGTGTGAACTCGTGTTATCCTGACAGTGTGTTGTGTGAAATGGTATTAGAATGACAGTGTGTTGTGTGAAATGGTATTAGGATGATATTGTGTGATCGCAACAGTATTTGGTGTGAACTTGTGTTAGTGAATAGTGAGACAGCCTGTTTTGTGACTTTGTGTTAGCGTGACAGTGTGTTGTGTAAACTTGTGTTAGGATAAATGTGTTTTGTGTGAAATGGTATTAGCGTGACAGTGTGTTGTGTGAATTCATCTTGTGTGACAGTGTGTTGCGTGTACTTGTGTTAGCTAACAGTGTGTTGTATGAACTCATATTAGCGAGACTGCGTGTTGTGTATAACTTGTGTTAGCAAGACAGCGTGTTGTGTGAACTTGTGTTAGCGAGACAGGGTGTTTGTGAATTTGTGTTAGCATGATAGTGTGTTGTGTGAACTCGTGTTAGCCTGATATTTTGTTGTGTATTAGCGTGACAGTGTGTTGTGTGTTAGTGTGACAGCGTGTGGTGCGAACTTGTGTTAGTGCGAAAGTGTTTTTCATTGTTGTGATGGCGAGCTGTGTGATAGCTTACATGGCGTCTTGTGTGTCTTGTGTTAGATGGCAGCGCTTTTATGAAAGTGCTATTGAGCTTTAGCAAGTGGCCCTATCTGGACACGCCGTATTATAATTGATCAGTTCTCAGATATACAATGAATTACCTGTATAATTGTCACCATAAAATCAGCACTTACAGTTGCAATTACCTAGTTAGTAATCATAAGATATTGGTTTGCGAGTTTTAAAATTATGGTGTTCCAATGATGTGAAGTTGCAGTGTGTTAGCATGTTAATTTCAACAGACTGCCACTCCAATGCAGCTTTAAACAACACGCTGCTGTGTTTACACAAAACAAAATATCATGCAAACACAACTCTAAACAATCTGTTGAGTGTTAGCTTCACTGCATGTTGGATTCAGTGTGCTGGCATATTATCACTGACGTACATGCTAGCACATTGTCACCTCGTGCTAGTATGTTGTCATAAATACTCTAGCACATTATCCTAAACCCACAAGTGCATGATTACTTTGCACTTGTATGTTGTCTTATTAGGGGATAGCATAAATGACTGCCTTAATTGGTGTAAACTTCTTTTAATTGATGAAAGAGTACATTAAAATTTACAAATTATACACAGAAAATGTGACAATATCTTATCTCTCAATTTGATAATCTAATTTATAATCTCATGAATTGCACTTTTTATTAGTAAAAGAATTATAAATTAAAAAAATTTCAATTTCTTTTGGATAGGTGTGACTCATCTGAATACTGAATTTTGATACCAAGCATGACCATGATTTGCCAGAAGATCATCTGTTTGGATGTGACATGGAATAAACAGCATAGTGAAAATAAGTCAAGTTTTGGTTTGTGAAGACAATTTTTAAACACACTGTGTATCATTTTTAAATTTTGATTTGACAACATAAATCCACAAATATGAACATATCAATTGCTCTCAGTTTTTCAAGTGAAATAGTTTTTGTAACAGAAATACATGTACCAGTAATTAAATTGGAATAAATGTTATTTTTAAATATAATAATATTTTGTTTGTGTAGCATGTTGACCTCTTTATTAAGGTCTTCCCTTTCAAAGTTTAGACTTACTTATTCTAATGATTAAGAAAGATCCTCTGTCTTCAGCAGGAATATAAGATCTTGTAATACATGTATGTGTAATTTTTACAGTATAATGTAAAAAAAAAATTTTTATTTTGGCACATACAACTAATTAAAGGCATAAACATGTGTATGATTCCAAGGAATTCAGTACATAGGGCATGCACATGTAGTTTTCTAAAACAAGATTGAAGAGATGTCCAGTCGCATTTCAATGTCAACTCCAAAACTGTGCCTGTTGCATACTTATTAGCCCATCTGAGCTAAAGGAACCAGTAAATTTTTTAAAAACATAATTTTATCCATTATCATCATTGTCTAAAATTTCACAATATCATTTTCCAGAACCAAAGTGAAACTTGGCACAGAGCATCCTTAGTGTAGGGGATTCAAATTGTTCTTATGCAGGGCAATACCTTCAAAGAGATTTGTTTCTTTAATGCTGTAAATGTATTATATTTAGCTTGTACAATATTTGGTGGAAATTGACTTTTGAATAAGTTAGCGTAGATATTCTTATTTATGTTTATGTACAAGACTTTTAGCTTTGTACTTGATTTAGTGATTGCTGCATTCCGCCAAAGCCGCTAAAAAAGAATACACAGCCATATGTAATATGTTCACAATATACCTTTCAGAGAATTTTACACTCCTATTGAGGTACCACCAGTTGCTAGTGGAAAGCTTCAAATTCGAAACATACACAACACATTTCTGTGCGTTTATTATAAAAGTATTGTTCTACTTACTGATTGCAACTAATGAAGATTGTTCATCATTATTGTAAATACATTTGGATTTTTTGAATTATTATATAATTTGTTTATTTTATTTACCTAGTTATACTGTATATTAAATGATTTTAAAGCCATTTTTAAGATGGTAATGTAGCAAAACACTTATGTTTCTGTACTATGACACGTTTCACAAACATAATTGCAACAAACATGATATATCCGATATCAAAAGTCATAATATTGGAAGTTAAACTGTTGTGGATACGATTTCAAGAATGCTGTTAGAGAGAGTACCCTTTAGACCTCATGCTCACACCAAATTAAAGAATTCAAGTAAGGGTTTTTGAGACAAATCGAAAAAGAGAATGTTAGAATAATAAGACTAGAGCAAAGCTCGTTGCAAAGCAACGAGTGGGTCTTCCTTCCTAGCGATAAGCAAAAGATGAAATGTTTCTGTCTAGATTGTCAACTAGATTGTTGACAATCTAGACAGAAACATTTAATCTTTTGCTTATCGCTAGGAAGGAAGACCCACTCGTTGCTTTGCAACGAGCTTTGCTCTAGTTATTATTATTATTTTTTTTTTTTTTTTTGACAAAATTTTGTGCAGGCGATTTCTCGAAAACTATTCAGTGGTTTTTCATGAAACTTTCACAAAATATGCGTCATTATATGAAGTTGTTACATCCGAAGAGTAATTTGGAAAATTCGCTTCTGGTGCCAAGTTATGGACAATTTCCTGATTTTAAAATGCGATTTTGTCGCGCACTTTTATCGCAAATGGCTAAGGATATGAACTGGAGACTTATTGGAGATGATAGATCATGACTTTGTGGTTTGCAGAATCGCCTTTTCGTGCGTCGTCAGTACTTCCGGTCGTTACGAGATGCAAATTTTAAAAAATCGTATTTTCTTACTTTTTTGTTTTTTAGTATTTTTCATTTTTATTTGGTATGGTAATAGAAGCCCTCCTTATAATGCTTACTATTTAATTTGTTTGAATGTTGATAAATCTAAAGTCTAGATATTTGCATTCAAAAATCTAAAGCAGGTCCAAAATGGCGGCTGTCTCTGTCAACTCCGCCATTTCGCGAGTAGGGGTTTATGGAGGCAGCTGAGCGTTTGATTAAACCATTCTGACATAAGGATACATGAAATGTAAAAAACTACTTCGACTCTCACGTAGTAGTGAAATGGTTGGAGGAGTTACCTCCCGTAATTGTTTATATTATAATAGATAATCAATGTAAATATTGTAATTAATTGGTCAATTGACTAAAGAATTATACAAGTATTATTGATAAATGATGTTCTGTTAGAAAATGATAATAGTGTTGCCAAAAGAAAGACATTCTGTTTTATTATATCAATATGATATCTGATAACTTATGATCATTGATTAAGTTGAGGTACAAGGGGGCAGTACAGCCAACTGGCTTGTGTCTTCACTTTGGTACAGAAACCAATTGGTTTATCGATCAAATAGGATTGTGCAAAGTTGCCGTAGTCAGTGACTAGTTAAAATGTAGCTGTGTGACATTAGCTATAGGTTTGTCATTAGGACAGAGAAGCTCTTACAAAGTTAAATCATACAGTGTAAGTATATTGTAGCCACTTGGCTAGAGTTATATAGGCAACTTGGTAAGCAGTTATACACCAGGCAGATGTTAAAGGCTAAATCAAGAGGCACCAGGCAGATAGAATGATGTTGACTTATATAGTCAGTTGTACGAGTATAGTGAGGCAATTATCATATGGCACCAGGCACGTGCCGGTATTAACTGAAGATATATAATTATACAAAGCACTTAGGTCATTTGATTTAAAGACACCAGGCAGGTGTCATATTATTATCTGTATATATTGCATTCAATCATATCCCCAGTAAAACTCGGTAATCCGAGCACGGACCTACTGACCGCTCAGATCCGACACGTTACAGTAGTACGTTGCAATTGAGTGTCAATCTTAAAACTTTATTTCCGTTTCACTGCTTTAGTGTAACTGGGCTAGATACGATATGTAATGTGTATAATGTGTTACATATACTTTCTTAACGTCAAAATAAAATAAAGGCGCTAAGAATGTTTTATTTTTAAAATTTAATTGATGCTATCATACCTATCTAATAGATCAGTCCAAAGAAAAGGCGCAAATATTTACTCGTGGCGTTTGGCGCGAAATTATGAATGCTTTTTATAATTCTTAGACAGGTGAACTGTTGCAAAAGTACCGTGGTATACACAAGTATATTTAGAGCAATATTCCCAATAGCTTAATGGTTAGCGCGTTGGGGATATAAAAGTAAAAAAAAAAAGCGCATTCACGTTGGCGACATGGTTTCAATCCTCCTTGTGACCAAAATTTTGAATCTCTTTTCAGCTCGATTTTACGTGGGTTTCTTTTCCTAAAACGGACGGAAGACCTCTCGTTGCTCGCAACGAGATCGTATCTAGTTATTAAGGTCTTTCGTCTTCAGCGGAAGACCTTCTTGTTATTCGTTTGTTTCTTTTCCACTGTTTTTCTTATTATTTTTTTTCTCCCCGATTTTGTGCACGCGATTTCTCGAAAACGGCTCGTTAGATTTTTATGAATCTTTCAGGTCTGAGAGAACATATTAAAAACTTGATGCATTTTTTTTTCATTTTGATGACGTCACTTCCGGTTCGAAAATTTTCGCATTTTTTTTTTATTTTTAAGGTCATTTTGTCCGTCGCTCTTCTTAAAAATCGCTCATCACAGGAAGATGAAACCTTGTCTGGGAGATAGAGCAACAAATGTAGATTTGCATTGTGTTGTTAACTTTCACCGGAAGTACTGCACGTTAACGCTCGGTATGGTCTGAAAAAAGCCATATTGAGCGTTTCAAAATTTTTTTTACACTTTTTCTATTATATCTTTTTACTTGTAAATATTTTGATAAAACATATAGAACAAAAATTGTGAAGAATTCAAAGATCTTTCAAATGATATCTCGAAAAAAGGGCTGACTCCTAAAATTAGGGATCAAGAGGGGCCAAAATTGTTTACTTGATATCTCGAAAAGTATGGAGAATTTGTAATACTTCAAAGAAGCAAAGTTGTTCAAAATGACAAGCTTAATCTATCTGAGTCGTCAAAATACGTCCGGCGTCGTCACTTCCGGCCAAACCGGAAGTAGTCAAAAACGGGTATTTTTGCTGTTCTTTTCAAGTTTTTTGGTAATATATGTCGCTTGGAGCATAAAAATTAATTTTCCGTCCGTCATCGTCACTTCCGGTTAAACCGGAAGTAGCAAAAATTGCTTATTTTTGCATTAATTAACATAGCTATAGAGGATTCAAACCATTTCTAGGCGTTATTTCTCATTTTTTGTTGAAAATGAAAGCTACTTCCGGTCAAACAGGACGGAAGACCTACTCGTTGCTTTGCAACGAGCTTTGCTCTAGTTATTATTATTATTATTATTATTATTATTAAATATCTCAGTTGATTCGATACGCAAGAGAAATTGTCGCCCCCGTTTTTTCTACCCTTTTGCACTAGTATTGGTTGAGCGAATTTAAAAAGGGGCAAATTAAAAAAAAATACAGCAAAATTCAATTCTTAAATTAAAATGTATCTGGGCGAATTTAAAACGGTGCAAAATTGTTTGCAAGATTGAAAGGGCGAAAAAGTCGGGGCAAAAATAACCTTGTATACAGTAAACCGCTCTGTATTGATACTTTTTGTTTCCATTACTAGGACTCTCCAAATTGGAGACGTGTTTTTGTCTGATTGGGTTACCGTTACCGATCATACAAGTATACTGCTCTCAATCCAGTTTTGAATGTTAAATTCATTTGTCATTCCAATGAAAAAAATGAAGAACAAATAAGCATATGTGAGATTGCAAAAGCCACACATTTATCATCTACCGGGGTATATATATTGATGTTTCCAGAGCATGTAAATAGTACATATATTTAGAAACAAACCGTCAACAGTGAGTCTCATGTCAACAACTTTTCGAGGTGAATTAAATGACGTTGTCGTTTTTACTTCTGATGAATGTTTTGTCAATAACAATACAATGTCTAATTTGCTTCATTGTAAGGCGTTTTCCATCGACATTCAAAATACTATATTGTTTACATGTTGCTACGTTTGTCCCAGAAATCCACAAGAATTTTACATTTTTTTCACTTTCTCGGGAAAAAATCCAATTACATAGGCCTCGGAAAGAAGGGGGGCTAGAGGGGACTTTTTATGCAAATATATACATCATATAGGCATTGCAAATTGATTGAGAGATTGATTGAGAGATTTTATATTGTTTGACGTCCCTCTCGAGTATTTTTCACTCATATGGAGACGTCACCGTATGCCGGTGAAGGGCTTCAAATTTATACATGTACCTATATGTATATAGGGCCATTGAGCAGCGAGGCTTATTTATCGTGCCAACGCCTACCGTGACACGGGACCTACGTTTTAAAGGTCATATCAGAAAGATCCGTGACTTTCAATTCTAATGCTGAGAGCATGGCGAAGGAACAGTCACTACCTATTTTTACATCTTAGTTTTGATGCGGCGCCGCAAACGAGAATCGAACCCGGGTCTCCCGATCCCTAAGCAAACGTTCTACAAATAGGCTACCGTGAACGGTATATTGAAAATTGAAGATAACCTCTTTTTGCTGGTTTAGCCCCCCCCCCCCCCCCACACACACACTTGTAATTTGCTTCCGACACCTATGCACTAAGAACAATTACTTTTCCATGGTGGAAGTAGACAGTATTTTGTAGAAATTAAAAAAAGAAATTATGTAATAGTTCTGATTAGCAGAAGCACTTGAAAAATTTGATACATAGAAAAGAGACGTAAAGACGTAAAGGTATCAGAAAGTTTTCGCCATCATTACATATTACACTTTTAAGATATTGGCATAAAAATAAAGCATCTTTTGAAGGATTATCATTTAGCACAATCATACAAATGTAGAGAAAATATGCCGATGAGGCGATTTCTAAATTTCCACTTACTTTTTTAAAATAGAGCCCTTCATTTTCCATATGATGTAAAACGAAAGTTCTGGAAATTTGGAGGAAACAAAAATTACGTAACATATGCAGATTATTAAAATAGTGACAACAAGTGTTTCTCCTGATTATCTGTGCTGTTCCATATTTTAATCTTATTATGTTGACTCATAAAAGTACAACCATTATCTTTTCAACTGATAAAAACATTCAAACTGAAAGTATGTGATTATAACTGGGTCTGGCGAACATCACACGTAACATCAACATGTAATTAGCTTCATGATTATGTTTTATCTAAACCAACCACAATCTCCTCAAATGATGTTATATCTGAATATTGTTTTCCGTCACTTTGATTTACTCTTAATGATACTACATTGAAGTAGGTGATCAAAAAGTTCGCGAGCTATACTGTATATATACAAAACAACAATTCAAGTTAGAATACGATTTGGTACATACATAGTCATACACAAGTTCTATAAATAGCATATGCTTTATAAAGTTTTGTTGCCTGTTTGTAACGTCACGATATGAAAATGACGTCACTATGAAGATCATTTGTGACAAAAAATGGTTGTCTCAGTCGAACGCGTTCAAAGAACAACTCTAAAATTTATCATGTATTTTGGAAATTTTGATCACTCTTCGTATTTCTATTCTTAAGTACAAATTAAATATATATAATTAAAAGCACATTTTACAGACCATATAGTGAATAATATAATATAATATATATATACTTACACTTC